CCAGCCCCTCGCGCTGCTAGAAGCGTCTGAGAATTATAATTTGTGTAAATATGCTGACACAAACAAGTAAACGGTAATTAAATTTCAGTGGATCCATTAGCGTTCATTGGCTCTGGGTTTTATTGACGTTACGAAGGAATGAAGAATGAAAACATGTGCGTTTGAATGTTTTCACTGACAAATATTCTGGATATGATGGAGACTCAGTGTTTCAATACATCAGAGCAATTGTTCAAGCAGCTCAGATGAAAGGTTAAACAAACTTTTCAAAGCCTGGATAATTGTTTTTTACGTCCAGAAATTATATTAGCTCTGTCTGGAGTCACTATGGATATATTTACAGCATAAATGCATTAAATACCTCCCAAATATGGATTTATATTGATTCTTTTCATCGTTTAAAAGTAAACAGGTTAGTAATTTCTGTCTATATTAATTGTTATGTATTGAGGAAAACTTACTGGAGGCCTAAAGGAATGAACTCTTATTCCAGCCTTTTATTATAAATCTGTAAGTAGTCTACAGTTGTTTTCTTAGTGGTAAACAAACTCTTCATTAATCATTTCCTCTGCTTTCTAAATAATGATTTACTGATGAAGTAATAAAGTTGAACTTCTGGCTATTAGACCCTTTAAAGCAGTGGTTCCCAATCTTTTTTTCAGATGACCTACATTTTGAAAAAGACAAAACATCGTGACCCCATTAAAAAAATAAAATTATTTACTCATTGTAAATGCAACTGTTCTATAAACAAAATCCTATGCATTTTACTATCCTTTGCGTTTCTTCTAAAAATGTCTCAAATTTGAACATAAAAATGAAAAACCATATTTGAAACATTATGTACATTTTTTATGTATTTAGAAACAATCTGAAAAACAAAACATTTTCAGAATAAGGATAATGCTTTTATCTTTGGACATTAAACCAGGGGCGGATTTAGAACTGAAGAAGGTCCGGGGCTTAACACACACACACACACACACACACACACACACACGCAAACACACACACACACACACACGCACGCACGCGCACTCACGCAAACACACACACACACGTGACACGCACTAGTCAACATCATATATATTTGTCTTGTACCACATAATTTTTAATCTGAAGCTACATATTAAGCATATTCAGGGCAGAGTATTGTTCCTGTTAGTGTTTAGTGTGAGATGATAGTGAATATTCCCTTTCTTTCTCCAACAACTTTACCTGATAGTAAGCTAACTTTAGGCAAACCAGCAGCACAACAAATATTTTCAAATAAGACTCACAAACCTGAGTCAACAACAGTCTCATCAAAGCTGGGGTTCTGTCGCCGTACTTTTGGTCTAAAAAACGTCCTTATGTCCATCTTCACTCATGCGTTTCAGGCAGAAGAAGCCGGCTGCTGAAGGGCTTCTTCTTCAGTGGTGGAGGCTCAGGCAGGCTGTATACAAACTACTGCCAGCTGCTCCCTCTCTGTTGGACTTTGGTACTGCATGTTACTTCCGCGATTTAGATCCGGGGCTTTTCATAAAACATCCGGGGCTTCAGCCCAAGTAGCCGGGCCTAACCCCGCCCCTGCCGGAGTATTGCACAAAACTTTTAGATAAAACATTCAGAACACGCAAATATCCAAAAATTGTTTTAAGCACAGAAAATGTTTTTCACATATGCTTAGTGATGAAAGTCATAAATATGGCTTTTACCCAAATGTTGATTATTATTATTAATTTTTTTGCCTTGCTAATGTGAGGGATGGGCTTGCTTGTTTTTCAGTATTGCATTCCAGTCTGGTTTACAAGAGGATAATGCAACTCTCATATCTGGTGCAGCATTCAGTCTACTTCTGAATTGTGTCTTTATTTTTGTTAGAACTGAGGACCCTACTTCACATTTGTACGTTGTTGTGAAGGGAATGAGAAGCTGAAAGCTGGCCTTACTTAAGGCAGGATATTCAGATGAGATGCTTATCCAAAATGAGGACAACTGCAGGCATTCATGTCTTTTCTTTAGCAAAGGATCACTGCTCATTTGTAACATCTGTTTCTTCTCCAGGAGTCAACCCTAACTCAAGCAGAGATTCTGGACTTTCATAAGCGAAGGGATTTTGAATCCACCTTTTGCCATTCAACTTATGAAATCTCCCTTTTGGAAAATAGCAGTCCAAACTATTATTAAGAGCTACGTGTGTTACGAGTTCAGTAAGATGCTTTACTTGTGTGTCAGTGACATCATTTTCTTCTATGTGTTTTAACACATTTGGAAACATGTAAGGACATGGTTTTGTTTTTTTGAGGCGTGCAAACCACAAGTTTAGAGACTTCTGAAAAGTGAGAACACATTTATAGTTGTGGAAAACATCATCATGCTCTCCCTGCAGTTTCAAATTCAGCTCATTCAGCAATGAAAATATATCTGCCAGACATGACAACGTAAAAACCCACTCATCAGTAAACAGATCAGCAAGAGGGGACTTCTTCTCCAGGAGGAACGCATGGATTTCATTTCTCAGTTCATATACTCTGGTCAGAACTCTGTATGAACCAGTAGGTGCGTGTGCTCCGCCCCCACGTCGCAGCACTGCTGATCAAAAAGCCGACAGTTCAGGGAACTGCTCTTAATGAAGTTCGCAACACGGATAACTTCTTTTAGCGTTTTGTCCAGATCAGCAGGCATTCCTTTGCATGCCAACGCGTGCCGATGAATAAAACAGTGGTTCCACACCAAGTCCTCGCCGGCTGCGTCTTTAATTTTTTTTACAACTCCGCTGTTTTTGCCCGTCATGTTCGCAGCTCCATCAGTTGTTATGCCTTTACAGCGGCTCCAGTCCAGGCCGGACTTTGTAACCACGTAATCGTTCAACACGCTAAATATCTGCTCACCTCTAGTCCCGGTCGGAAAATTCAAACAGCATAACAAGTCCTCGACAAACTCTTTTTCCCAGACATATCTCACATAGACCAGTAAAGTTGCACAGTCGGAAACATCTGTGCTTTCATCCAGCTGGATAGAAAAGTCCCCTGCCATCTGGGGTGATGGTGGCACAGGAGTTAAGTGCTCGCCCCATAATCGGAAGGTTGCAGGTTCGAGCCCCGCTCAGGCGGTCGCTGTCGTTATGTCCTTGGGCAAGACACTTAACCCACGTTGCCTGCTGGTGGTGGTCGGAGGGACCGGTCGCGCCCAGTGCTCGGCAGCCTCTCCTCTGTCAGTGCGCCCCAGGGCAGCTGTGGCTACAACATAGCTCATCCCCACCAGCGTGTGAATGTGTGTGTGAATGAGTGAATGACTGGTTGTGTTGTAAAGCGCCTTAAGGGGTTCCATGACTCTAGAAGGTGCTATATCAAATACAGGCCATTTACCATTCAGTTTGAAATAAGCTGCTTCTCAAGGTTGCTTGGAATATCAATAATCCTTCTGGAAACTGTGTTGTCACTCAGTGGAATGTATTTTAATTTCTCTGCAGCCTTTTCACCAACAACTGCACTAACCATGTCTATTGCAGCAGGCAAGATGAGTTGTTCTGCAATGGTGTGAGGCTTTTTCTCGGTGGCCACACGGTAAGAAACCATGTAGGATGCAAGCTGAGCTTCATCATTTAATGTGACATTTCTGCGAAGAAGATCAGCAGATGATTTAATCTCCTGCGTCTTTCTTTGAAAGAAGTCCGGTGGTTTATTTACCAAACCAGCGTGGAGCGTTTCCAAATGTCGCTTTATTTTGGCTGGCTTTAAACTCTCATTTGCGAGCTTTTCATGGCATATTACACACATAGGTCGATCTTCTAGATTTGGTTTAGAAAAATTTACAAATCTATAGTTTAAGAAAAGATCTTTATATGGCCTCGACCAGGATTTTTTTCTTAGCTGCTGGTTCTTCTCCCTGGTTCTCCGACTCTGTTTCCCGCTCTCCTCAGATTGTTGGCGGATGGAATTTCTGGGCATTCATCTTTGTTTTGGCTTCGTTCACTATCCTTGACGTCTCGTTTTGATGATGCTTTTTTTGAATAGCGCTGCCGTTTTTATTTTGCATTGTTCTTTAGTCTCTGTAGTCTGGCATTGATGTGATGTACTTTGGTTTATGTCCGTGTCTTTCTTTTTCGTTAACCAAGCATCCATTTCTCCTTCGTGGCAAGTGGCAACAAAGTTTCAATATAGACTTGTTCTATGAATACACTGGTAATCGCAGTAAACAAGTGACACGCTCCCTCTTGTGGCGGAATGCTGAACTGCATGTGTGAGTCTTGGTTAAAAAAAACAGCGTTGTTCAGAAATTTATTTGGCGACCCATAAAAAATGTTTTAACGACCCCACTGTGGGTCGGGACCCCATCTTTGGGAATGACTGCTGTAAAGGACCCTCACTGAAATCCTTACAAATGTAAATGTTATTAGTTGCTATTAAAATACGTCTTTCTTTTGTTCTTTCATATTTGACAGTTTTTTTACACACTTTTGTGCCTTTCCTTTTTACATTTCTACTTTGTGTCTAATTTTTAAAAAGACTCTGGTTTATGCAGAAAATTTAGGAATTTAATCGAGTCTGAGTGTTGAAATATGGTCTCTCCCTCTATAAAGAGAATTTTATGAATCTCCTCAACTGCTAAATGTTACTTTGCTTAGATGAGACCAGCTCTAATTCTGGATTTGGTTTGCAGAAACAGATGAGTTCAGACAGGCTGTGTCCAGAACAACTTATAAAAGTTATTTTATACTCTTTACATTTCCATAGACTTCCCATTTCATGGTCATTTTGGCAGAATTATAAATCATTTCCAGCCCAAAGCACTACAGTGGCTAGCTCTCTGCAGGTAATCTCTGTGGTGAAATAAACAAAACAAAGAATTCTAAAAAACCAAGTAATTTACGGTGGTTTAAAGGTTTATAGATTAGCATTTGCACATATTGCGAGTTGTTTTAAGACGGCAGAATCACTATGTAAATGAGACGAGTCGAGTTTTACACCTCACTAGGACTCGCATGGCTCCAAACACACACAAACACCAACACTCACCACATTAAAGTCAAGGTTTTTCTCCACCCACTCCGCAGCCGCATCAAACTCCTCAAACATTTCCATGACGTAGAGGGTGTCCAGAGCGTCCACTATTGTTGCTCCTTTTATACTCCCTGAAGGAAAAACAAACATCAAAAGATTAAAAATCGATCATGCATTAGTAGAGGTCGTCTCATGCAGAATTTATCGCCTGCAAAAACAAGAAGAGAGGAGAATAAAAAGCTCTTTCAAACGCTAAGAGCTTGTTAGTCAACGCATCATTCCTTCCAACACCAGATGTTGTCCTCAAACTCAAAACAAAGTAGTGAAAAAACACCCAAGTAAAAGATTTCTGTTTGGAGGTTGAATCAATTATTTAGCAACCAGATGGTGAAAGGTAGAGATTATCAGAGTTCTGCTCACCTATAGTGATTAGTGTCTTAGCAGGAGGTAAGACACTGAGACGCACAAATCATAATTTCAGTGCACTTGTTAGCCAAAACCGCTAACAAAGCCAACATCCCTCCAACACTGCAGTCTGAGCCAAGAAGCTCCATAAATCATTAAACATGCAGAGCGCTCTGCAAAGCTTTTAGTCCTTGCAGGCTTGTTTTAAACACAAAACCTCCTTTAGGAGCAATCTGGCCACTTACAGGTGAGAGAGGGAGGGAAGAAATAAAACAAAGAATACATTAGTGAAGGAAAAGAGGCTGGACATGAAGGAAAAACAAAAATTAATGATAAAAACGTAGAAATCTGCTGGGTTTATTTTCCTTTCTCTTGAGAAACAACGGAGCAACCCATGTCCGTTATAAACTGGGTGTCATCGCAGACTGTCAATATGATAAATACACACAATTTTAAATGTATGACTCAACAGATCAACAAATATTTACTGATGGTAGAAGAAAACCTCTCAGTAAGGCAGCAGAGTAAGTATCTGCCCACTTGATGAGGAAAAAAAAGATCTATTAGATAATTGTGAGTAGCTGAAGTTAAATTTAAAGTTCATTTGAGGATTAATTCAATGAGTGGATTAAGAATTAGGTGGGTGGGGGTCATTTGTTTTGAAGACCAAAATACAACAGTTGGTTTTTAACAAATTGATTAAAACAATAACAAAAAATAAACAAAAAAAAAACTTTTCAATGAAAGAAATGGATCTGTAAAAATCAGGTTCAATCAACGGTAACCTAAACAACAGTCTAGGATATCATAGAAGATCCATGAGCAGCTGGTTCCACGGAGAACCCCGGGATCGTTTCCACAAACAAGTTAAAAGAACCCAATTAAACAAGTCTGGTTTAAATAAAAACAACTGAAATAGTTGTGGTTGGTTTTGTTTCATGTCCCAAGGTTCAAAAGAATGAAGGAAGATGTTATTAAAGGCTAAAAGCGCACAGGACAGAGGTAACAGGGAATAGAATCAGCTGTATGTTTTGGACACCCGAGTGAAGAGAGGAGCGGAGCTGTCAACTGATCACCACCTGGTGGTGAGTTGGATCAGATGGCAGGGGAAGATGCCGTAGACCTGGCAGACACAAACGTATAGTGAGGGTCTGCTGGGAACGCCTGACAGAAGAACCTGTCAAGACGGTCTTCAACTCCCACCTCCGGCAGAGCTTTGACCGCGTCCCGAGAGCAGTGGGGGACATTGAGTCAGAGTGGGCCTTGTTCCACTCTGCGATTGTTGAGGCGGATGTTGCTAGCTGTGGTCGCAAGGTGGCCGGTGCCAGTTGTGGTGGCAACCCCCGTACCCGCTGGTGGACACCAGAGGTTCGGGGAGCGGTCAGGCTGAAGGAGGCCTACAGGGCGTGGCTGGTCTGTGGGTCTCCGGAGGCAGCAGACAGGTACCGGATAGCCAAGCGGGGTGCAGCAGTGGCAGTTGCCGAGGCAAAATCTCGGGCATGGGAGGAGTTTGGTGAGGCCATGGAGAAAGACCATCGATCGGCTCCAAAGAGGTTCTGGCAAACTGTCCGGCGCCTCAGGAGAGGAAGGCAGAAACTCGCTCACACGGTTTACAGTGGGGATGGGGAGCTGCTGATGTCAACTGGGGCAATAGTCGGACGGTGGAAGGAATACTTTGAGGAGCTCCTCAATCCCACCTACGCGCATTCTGAGGAGGAACCAGAGCCGGGAAACCTGGGGATGGACTGTCCAATCACGGGGGCAGAAGTTGCTGAGGTAGTCAAACAACTACACAGCGGCGGAGCCCCGGGGGCGGATGAGATTCGTCCTGGGTATCTCAAGGCTATGGATGTTGTAGGGCTGTCGTGGTTGGCACGTCTCTGCAACATTGCGTGGTCATCGGGGGCAGTTCCTGTGGAGTGGCAGACCGGGGTGGTGGTCCCCATCTTTAAGAGGGGTGACCTGAGGGTGTCCTGTCGGCAGGAGGCCCCCGGGTCGACCCAGGACACGTTGGAGAGGTTACATCTCCAATCTGGTCCGGGAACGCCTTGGGGTCCTGCCGGAGGAGCTGGTGGAGGTGGCCGGGGAGAGGACGGTCTGGAGCTCCCTAGTTGGGATGCTGCCCCCGCGACCCAGATAAGCGGAGGAAGACGACGATGACGAGAAGCAGCTTAATATGAATAGTCATTTTAATAGGAATTTGTTTATTGGAAAGTATAAAAAAAATCTTAAAAAGAAGACAGAATCTACAAACATTAATTATATCAATTAATGATGAAAACTAGGGGTGGGACTCGATGAAAAATGTAATTAATTAATTGATTAGAGACTTTGTTGGTAATCACATTTTAGTCAATTTGGCAATTTGCGCCCAATTTTTTAGTCAATAATAATGTTAGTGAGGCACAGATGACATACCCACACTTTAATGAGTATATTTCTGTAAGCACATGGTCTGTTTGATTACTGTGGTCTGGTTATAAAGGCAACCATTGTGGGATTTGTTGGGATGTGTAAATATTAGTACATGTGTTATTGATGAAGTGTAAACAGACATGGACAATTGTAAATGTGTAATGAACTGAACACTAGGTGGCAGCACAGCACAGCTAATGTATATGTAGAGGGTAGTGTAGAGTTATGGGGAAGTTCTGCTGCACGTTTCAAGATGAATACTGCGTGGATGCTTGTCCCTCCTGCTGTAATAAAGTTCGTATGGATAAGGTTACTGCCTGCCTGATTTCTACCAACTACAAAACATAACAGTAAAAAAAGCTGATTGTTCTAACTTTGTTTTTGTTAAGAAGAGTGATTTGTCGTGATTCATTCAATTTTATACATATTTGTGCAGTAGTGTTTGGAGCCCGTAAAAAAGGTTCATATTGTCTTGCAGCCCAGGCTTTGAAGTCTTGTTTGCAGCTTGATTATATTTACTGATATATATAAAGGGCATACATTTGGATTCTAATCCTTTTTGGGCCCTAATTGAAGTTTGCTCAGGCTCAAAGGGTTCATTTAACTTTTTAATTAATTAATTAATTAATCAATCAATCGTAATTAATGCGTTAAATTCACACCCCTACTGAGAACAAGAATAAAAGTGACATTTTTCAATGACCAAAACAATATGAATGCATGAATTGCATGAAATGGTAAATATTATCCAAGATTTTATCAAAATGATCAATTAGCAGCAAAATGAACTCAAAAGCAAGTATATAATAAGCTAGAATTTGCATGAAGAAATTCTTTTAAATGTAGAAATGTAGGCAGGATTAGTTTATCATCCTCAGCATCAGAGCTCTTCTAAGTAGAAACTAGAAAAAACGCTAAAAACAAACGAGTAAAGTATCAAATGAAAGTGTTTTTCTGTGACTGAGGAAAATAACAACACAGAAAAAAACTATTTTAGTAAATTTTACCTTCCTTTTTATGTAATAAGTATGAATAAAAAAGCAGATTGATCAGTAATTAAATTAACAATGGTAATTTGCAGCTAAGGTATTCTTGTTTTTATGATCCTTTATAGCTAAAATTGTTAGCAGCTAATGTTAAAACATCATACTGATGATGACTCTGTGGGGCTTTTATGTCTGTAAATAAAGATCTGTGACATTAGACAGCTTGCCCAGGGTCACGACGGCAGAGGGAAGGAAGCTTTCTACCAGATCAAAAATTTGTGTCACTGTCCAGATGGACAGACTATAAACACCCTCAAAGGATTCCGTCTGTGAGGTTGGGAAGGCAGAAACGGATGATCTAGGAAGTAATGAGGATTTTGTTACAGATTTGAGCATGGTGAGCTAGCAGATGGTTCAGCAGAGAGTGGCATCCATAACACTTCTGTACTACATGAGTAGAAGTGGATGAGAGGAGAGGCTGTAATGATTCTATAAAGACTGGGCGCTTGGAGAGGAATGCCTGGTGAGATTTACTGTGGGCGGTCGCCTTGTTATTGTGGGAAAACTCTTACATTTATAAGAATTATTTGCATAAATTTACAAACAAGCAGAGTTTCAGCCCACAGCAGCAAATTTGGGTTATTTTAAAACAGATACGTATCAGATTTATTTTTAGATTTTAGAGAGACGGTCACAGAATATCTGGCTGTTTTTGTGTCTGAATTATAAAGTCTTTAATCATAATCAGTGTGAACGCCCATTCTGGAGTGCCTCATTTGATCTCCACTTTACGGTAAATCAGAGAGCTGTAGGTTAGAGTAGAAGGAGATCTCACTGATGAGATTTCAAAAGTGTCTCCAAACAGAGGTACTCATTTTCCTCGCAGGAGTCACTGAGACGTAAAGGCAAATCTCAAAGTGGTGAGGGAGCTGGAGAGGCTAAGTTTGAGATAAAGTCTGAGAAACAAGAGACTCTGGGAGGAGTTGGAGGCCTTTGAAACATCGTTGCAACCAAATGGAGACCAAAAAGATGAATTTGACAATCAGGAGACAAAATTAGCAAATTAATTGATGGCAAACAGAAAATAAATTAAGTAAATTATGAGAAACTGTTGAAATGTATTCACAATGTAAATGTATTAAACCTTTAAACTATTAGAAAGATACATTATTTGTCATTTAGACCATAATGGGCTCATTGGTATGAAAAGGTGCCAAGGCAAAGATAAAAAATTTTAAAAGTAAGAAAGAAAATCTGAAACAGGATAAAGAAAATATTACATTGACTTTCTGTTTAATTAGAAAATGAACAAAGAAAATAAGTAT